GTCCCCTGCTCCTCCAGCACTTACGTTGTAGGAGCGGGGGTGCCTCTGCTTCCACTGGACCAAGAGGAGCTGGGCCACCACCAGCGTGGCGATGAGGATGAGGACCATTTCGGCGTGCATGGCCTCGTGGCCGCGGTGCTTGGCGTGCATCCGGGCGTGCTCCACCCTGCGAGGACGGGGAGAAGGGCGGCTGAAGGGCAGGCGGGGCCCGCGGGCCGCGGCGCAGGGGAGCCAGGAGGACCGAGGGACAACCGCGGAGGGGTGTTGCGGGGAGGGGTGTTGTGCTGCAACCCAGAGGGGAAAGGGCACGAAGCTTCCCTGAGACCAGCTCGGTTCTAAGCGGTGGAAAAGCCAAGCCCACGGGATTTCTAGAGCGATGATGCTCTAGAGGCACCCGGGGTTTCTTGGCAGCTGGTGCTGCCTGACCAAGCACCGAGGCAGAATTAAGACCTGTAACACCCTCCCATCTCAGTCCGAAGCCGGTAAGACAGTTCAAATGAGGTGGGGGAAATCCAAACCCAACCCATGTGCCAAATTCTCTGCTCTGAAGTCATCCTCTCAATGAACAGCGAGAGCAGACCAGTCTCACTGGGCTTTTCAACCAGTGGCTGGCTGGAATTGCGAAGGGAAAAGGAGGAATATCTAGTCAAGAGTTTAAAAAAAGCGTTAGCGTTGCCTCCTAAGGCAGTTCAGGCTTCCCCCTCACACCCCCGACGCCGCACAGGGAAGGCCGACCCTGTCCTCTCGCCCCAGGAACACCGGCTGCGCTGCCGGCAGCTCCCGTGGGGAGCGGGAGGTGGCTGCAAGCACCGGCGCAGACTCACCTCCATCTCTCCTCCGGGGACAAGTGCGAAAGATCGACCTAGGGAGAGGGGGGGAAAAAAAAAAGGGAAAAAAACCACCAAATCAACCAGCTGCTGAAATCTGGGAGCTGCCTAGAACGGGAAACTTCTTTACTTCGCGCCCCCCCCGAAGAGCGCAGAGGTTGGGCTGGGGCTTTGGTTCACCACGAGGAACCCCGGCACGGCACCCAGCTCCTTCATCTCCTGGTGAGACCCAACCAGCGCCCACAGCAGCGGCAGAGGCAGCTGCAAAGCCACCCCCTGAGACCCTCGGGATTGCTCCGAAAGCTTTTACACGGGAAACCCTGGATTCAGAAGCTTTCAAGGACAAACTGTCGACGGGCCCATCGCGAGACCGCGGCCCAGAGCTGCCCTTAGGCCCTCCAAGTGGCACGGGGAGAGCTGGAGAGTCGCCTGCTCCTCCCTCACAAGTGCCTTCCCACTTCTCCTCCCCACATTTTGCTGCAGCCAAGGCTCCGCTGTCACCCTGCGCTCCGGCTACCAGAGGAATTGGCTGAAATCCCACATTCACAACCCAACCAAGCATCTCCGGGCGCAGAGCGGGGCGGGGTGGGGGGGGGAAATCCCACGTCCGAAACAGGACAGAGAAGGGCGTCCAAAACGCCACCAGGCTGCAGGACAGCGTCTGCGCACCGGCAACAAGCCATCGCCAAAACAATTTTCAGAAAGGATCGTGGGGGAAAAAAAGCAAGATTTAGGGCTTTGCTGACAGGGCTGGAAGTTTCTCCCAGATGTTACGGGCAGCCAAGTTTTTGCCTGTCAGGAGCCACCAGGAGCGGCAGGAGCTGCTGTTGTTAGTGACAGAGGTGACAGGGCTGGTGTGAGCCGGGCTTAAGGAGAGCTGCCGCTGCCAGGGTGGCCTGAGGGCGTCAAGGACATCCTCCATCGGACAGGTTTAGGGGACAGAAGGAACGGGGCTGAGGGACTGAAAAGCCCCTGTTCTGGCAGGCAGAATCCCCAGTTTCCCCCCAGTGGGGTTTGGTGTGAATGCTCTCCCCACGAGGCATCTGAACTGGGGAGGAGCGGGGGGAACCTTCACCACCACATTCCAGCTTTCGCTGGGAGCTTCATCACCTCATCTCAGAGGCCTCCCCTTCTCCCAGGGCCCCGCAGCCCCACCGCA